CAAATTTGACAAGGGATGACGGAAAATCGTTCCACATTACATCACTGTGCTTTTAGTTGATTTCGCAAATTTTCGATGAGATTCATGTCCGCGAATTGTGGAGGTCATTTCAAATTAGCAAATTTTCGCTTTTGTATCCAGTCTTTGCGAACATGACCAGTGTGTTTTGGGTGATTTTTTAGCAGAAACTCTGATTTTTTCGTCTAAATCTTGCAAATTTTGTTGAAATATCAACAGATACTGTTCCTTAAGCATAATGCGTACTAACGGATCAACAATATTTTTGACATACAACCCCAAACTATTATTGACCGACCACTGTGATTCACAGTTTGCCTTACATGAGGCGCGTGGGCTTAATTTGGGTCTTTCATCCAATACCATGCCCGGCCATCTAATTAAAAGCGATTAATTTAGTCTTATCAGACCAAATAACCCCTTCAATTGCAACTTACAAATGTGTTTTTATTGCATTCTGAAAGGCCTAACATATACCAATAGGCAACGGTCCGGTTTTCGTGCGATACAGCAAAATGCTGCCACAATCGCACATGTATTTTGATCAAATTTTTCTTCTTTTATGATGCCTTTGCGCTCAATTTGGCAATTCTTCGCCTCGATGTCTACTGATTTGCATTAAAGTTCAATACCTTAAGCGCTTCTGTCGGACTGTAATATTTTTTGACAGACTTCCTTTTTCCTTGGGAACACTTTAGGCTATATTTCTTCTCAGTCTTAACATTTTCAAGTAGCAAACTCCACAATTTTTTGCCACTTTTCCTGCGGTCTCGCCTTTCCGCAGTAAATCTATTATTTAAATTTATGGTTCCGGATTAACCATATTATTTACTGGTGATCACTTCTTCAATAAATTACAATACAGAAAAGTCATCTGCCTTCCAACTAAGTAAAAGATAACGGTAAAACTGAGAGTGAGCGAAAAACTGTAACATTTGCCTTAATTTACATTTTTGTCTGCTGTTTTTTATTGTTGTTGTATTGACTTCAAATCGTTATGATAGAGGGAGTGAGGATGTACCAACAAGAATATACAACAAAAGGATGAAAGTCGTTAGAACTTGGAAATATAGCGGTGGCTCATTAGCGCACACAAGGGGTGGGTTTTGGGGTTCAAACCCCCCCTAAAGCTAATAACCTCAAATACAAACTATATCTTAAAGCTAAGAATCCAGCTCTCAAGGAAATTATAAGAAATATTTATTATAATTTCTGTTGCTGAAAAAGCGCTTTGCTTTTGCTGTAAATTTTCATGAGGAAATAAATATACGAGCATTTTTTTCTTGAGAGCTGCAAACTGATTTATGAAAATTTGGTAGAAGAAAATTTCTTTTCCATTTCTCGTCCGTCGTTTTATATGAATTTTTCGTTTTTCTTGAGAGTTCAGTTAATTTTTTCGGAACTCGAAATATTAAAAAAATTTAGCAATCGTGAAAAATCACCATCTATCGAAAACCAGAAACCAGAAATCGAAAAAATGAACATAAAAGTGCAAAAATTCATGGAATCAATAAATTTATTATTACTGACTCTTTTTTAAATTTTTTTATTAGGTACTTTTGAAAGTTGAGCGCATCTTGAGTTTATAGAACTTTTTATTAAACAAGTAGTTTTTAAGGAAAGAACACAACCGACTTCAATTCTCATATACAAATTTGGGGGTACCTTTAATTTCTTCATGATCCAATCATCGGATCTCTAAACCAAATTACCTTGAGGTACCATCTTTCCAATAAAAAAAGGATTATTGAAATCGGTTCACGTGGTAAAAAAGTTATGTATTCCGGCGAATTGATAACCTCCCCTTTTTTGAAGTCGGTTAAAAGTGTTTGAGTTCTGTTAATCTTATGTAAATAAAGTGCAGTTTATGAATTTTAAAACGTTTATTTATTTATTACATACTGTACATAAAACTTGCATAAATGTATTTTAAAGAGCGTATTATCAAGCAAATTTTCAGTATTTTCCGGTGATATATCTTCAGAAATATAAACCCCCCCCCCCCCCCTAAAATATATTCCTGGGTGCGCCCCTGCCGTGGCTGAAATAAAAAGTGTTACACCATGTTACAGTTTTGCTCGTCACTGTATATATTTCATGATCCAAAGATCGGATCTAAACCAGATTAGTATGGGACCACCTCTGAGACACTACCTTTTCCAATGCAGAATTACCGAAATCGGTTGACGTGGTCCAAAGTTATGCGGTAACATACATAAAAAAAAAATATATTCCGAGGAACTGATAACCTCCTCCTTTTTTGGAAGTCGGTTAAAAATGGATTCCTCTACACTACAGCAAAATGCTAAGAAACCTATTTTCGCAATTTGGCAAACTCCAAATTGATTTTGACCCATGGTTTCTTCGGAAAATTCGCTTAGAATTACACATAGAATTTTTCTGTGCCATAATACGCGCATAGTCGAAAAAATCTCCCATACGCCCTAAGGTACATATCGTTGTTTAAAGTACAAAACCGCGTATCATCATTCTGCAAAACTGCGTAACTGACGTTTGCTGCCAAAAATTTGATTTGCTTACATAAGCTCTTGGCTCAATCCTTATCCCTTCGTCCTGAAATATACTAGTCAGAAATGTGATTGCTTTATAAATCAGAGAACCATTTTGAAATATGAGTGTTTTTACTTTCTAGAAAATAATTTATGCAACCTCACATACGCGGTTTTGCATTTTGTTGATACGCGGTTTTGTACTTTAAACGACGATATGTACATAAAATTGTAATATTTGTATCCTCAACGTCGCGTTTGCATTAGATAATGCTATCAAGACGATAAAGAAATACGTTGATGCAGTTGAGAGCAAATTTAAAAGTCTTTACTAATACAAAAAGAAATTTAAGATTGGCCAACTACATCCAAAGAACATTGCAATTAAGTGAGTAGACTTTTTTAGGATCTCAAAAACGCGAAATGTGGCTATATCTCAAAAACTGCTACTACTGATTCTCTATCATAAGTGTGACTTGAGATAAGAATTTTAAGAAAACTTGTGACACTTGGCAAATTTTGCCCCACATACATATGTAACCATTAACTTCAAAGCTCACTTTATATTTAAAGCAGACCAGGGCGGCGCCTGCCCGGCGGGCATATTCGCATATACATACACGCTCTGCTTTAGTAGGCTGCGAAAGCTTCATTCAACCGGACCGCTTGTTCGCACGCACACAGTGACCTCAAGGGAAGCGAGCTGCCAGCCTAATGCTTTGACCACTCGGCCATTGAGACTCTTTGAGCGGCGCGGGCAAAAGGCATACATAAACACTATCAGTTGATTGTCTGTGTTTGATTTCACCACAAATTTTTGGTGAACTTTTTGTGACTCTCCTTCTGAATATCCCAATCGTCTCAAGTCACAAAAATAGTCACTAATTGCTAATCTCAAATTTAGTGACTTAAGATGCGACTGAATTACTGAATCCCAGGGTAAAACCGATAATAAAATGCTTTACTTTAGACACAATCATAAATTTTAATGCAACCTTTAAATATAAAGTGAGCTTCAAAGTTACAGGTTACTTGGGAAAAGGGCCCTTAGAATTTTTGTCTGTCTGTCTGTATGTTTGTACGTGCATCATTCGAAAACTAATGCATGGAATCTAATGTAGCTTTCACCAAGGTCCAACTAAAAACATAGGAAAAATTAGAAATTAGATAGTAGCCACCTGTTTGAAAATTGCAGTTTTAAAATTGATAAGATAAACTAGATATTGCAATATGGCCAATAATAGCAAGAGGTTTAAGAATGCTAACAGTCGAAAATATCTTTGTGGAAGGTTGCCACCTGTTTGAAAATTTTAATTTAATTTAATCGATAAGATAAATTAAATATTGCAATATGGGTATCAAACTAAAGAGGTTTAGGAAAGCTGACTACAAAAAAAAATTGTGAGGAGGGTTGCTACCTGTTTGACAAATTTTATTCAATTATTAAATTGATAAAATAAATTAAACGTTACAACACAGGTATCAAAGTAAAGGGGTTTAAGAAAGTTTACTGCCGAAAATATTTTTGTAGCTTGTTACCACCTATTTGAAAAATTTTATTCTGGTGATAAGATAAGGTAAATACGGAATAAATACATCTTTGAAGAAAGCGTACGATACGTAGAATCGAGTTATAAGAGTATAAAACAAATTTCCAGGATTAAGTACCTTCGAAAGTATTGAAACTAACACCCTTATTCATAAAAAGTATGTTTCATAAAAAATAAAGTATGTTTCGAAAACTTGTTTGAAAATCTCATTTCATAAAACTCTTCAAATCTATTTTATTTTTTATGAATGAAGCCATAAGAGTTTTGGGAGGGAGTAACAATACAGCGCAGCGAAGCCGGGTAAAATGAAAAAGAAATATTATTTTTTTTGTTCAGAAGGACGAAATGATATTGAAAATGCCCTTTTAATTATTTTTATGTTTTAAAGAAGTGCCGACCACACGAATATTAAAGTGTGTGCGCCAAGCGCGTGAGAAGCGAAAGCATAACTTCGTGCATACACATCGTTAGCGTTGGTGTGAAAATACGCAGGCGAAACAGCACAATGTGAACGTTTTGGCCGGCATTATTTTAAAGCTATTAAAGGAGAAGCACGAAATTCGAGGATGTGGTCGTTGGTAATAAAGTGCTAGTGTTTTGACGACGGTTAAGAAAACTTCGGCGAAGAAAGATGCGTAGCCTAGTTGACGGCGAAAAAAGCTAAGCGTCTTTCTTCGTCGTCAACATGTTAAAGAGTCTTTCTTCGTTGAAGTTTTGTTATGCGTCTTTTTTCGCGGTAAAACTTTGAGCTCGCGCCTTTATTCGTGTCTAGTCACGATATGTATAGAATAATAAATTCAATAATATGTTACTTAATTAAGTTCATGTACTATTAAAAGATTATTGTCTTACATGTACAAACACTGTTCCCCCTTAAATAAATAAATAAATAAAATAAAATAAATATTAAGAGCTCCCAGAATTTTAATTGATTTGTTTTTTTTAATTAGTGCAGATTTTTAGTTATAACCCGTTAATCAACTTATAGGTTGTTAATTAGTCAAATCAATAAAATAATATTAACTGAAACAATTCAAACATACCCTAGCGATGTAGGCGTTGTGTAACGAATGAATGAATGATCCGTTTCGTGCAAATCCGCACCATAACAATAAGCACAGAGATGGTAGTTCGAACACTGGGCGCATTTAAAAACAATGCCAGCTATTCCCGGCTTAGAGCAGCCATCACAAACAACATTCGAATGGCGTACACCTGAAATATGCAATTGAAATCTTTGTTAAAAATTTATAAAAAATTATACAAATTAATCAGTGGTAAAAGCACAGGAATTTAAATATTTTTATTACTGTTGATATCCGCGAATAAAAGTGATACGAAAAAGAGGAAGAAATCAACGTACTATGCAAGAATGATAAATAGAATGCAAAATTGCGCAATCTCGTCGGCGATGACATTTCTCCAGTAAAAGTAAACGAATAGGAGATAAAAGAAACTACCAAACAGTAAATTTTCCTTATTTTCAGTTTTTCGATAGGAAACGTAGTTTATTTGTGTTAAATTGTAAAAATATGTACATATATGATTTATAAAAAGATTTAATACAGAAAATGTTAAAAAATGGTGATTTTTTAAAGTATTAGTGAATTTCAGTGCTTTAAAATTTGTGAGGCGCTGTTTACTTTTACTTAAGAATTAACAAAGTTGGCAAAACCAAAGTAGCAGTTTGCGTAACGCGCCACCTTTGTTCGCTAACATCGTGCATACTACAGGGTGACAAGAAATAACGGGGACAAGCATTTTTGCATATTTTTCTGTTAATTTTGCAAAATTTAAAGAAACGACTTATGTATAATTACAATAGTACTAGGCATTACTAATTTGTGTTTAAACCGACTTTAAAGTGGCCTCCCTTAGCACCAACGCAGAGCTTTAAACGTTTTGTAAAATTTTCGGCCACACGCCGCAGCTCCTCTAGCGAAATAAGATCCTATTCACGGCGCCGTGATTGCTTTAGGGACTCCAAACTTTTGTGTGGTTTAGCACAAGCCCTGGCCTCCAAAAGTTACCAAATTCTGTAATCCATGGGATTAAGATCTGGTGAGTACGGTGGGCACTCTGCAGTTGTGATAACGTTCGGAAAATTTTCTTTGCACCAGTCTTGAATTTCTGATGCCCTGTGAGCAAGTCCTGTTGGAATGTCCATTCCTGTTCGCCAAAATGCTCTTGGGCTCAAAGAAGTACCACAGCCTCCAAAATGTTGCAACGGTAAACTTCCCTATTGATTTTAACCCCCTGATCCACGAAAATCAGAGGTGTTTTGCGGGATGAACAAATTCCAGCCCAAACCATCACAGATTTGGGATTTTGGCGGTGCTCGATGATGTGTGATGAACCAGGAGCGTGTGTCGACCAGATCCTATCATTTTGACGATTGTGCAAAAAGAATTTTTTCCCAGTGAGCGTTTGCGGCAACTGCGCTCTTGGAATTTTGTACGGCTTAATGCGAAGCTCCTTCTTCGCAATTTGACGAACAGTTTCACGACCAATACCAGTTTCGCGGGGAATCTTTCTCATTGAAAGCCTTGAATTTCGCTGAACTCGCTTTTTAATTATCTGGCGTTTCCTTGGTGTATTGGCAGTTCGTTTTCTCTCACGTCCCAGACGATCACCTTCATGGTCAAGTTCATTGAACCGCTGAATTGGAAACAGTTTGGCGAGGAACGTCGAGCAACCGAACAATTTCACATTGTCATATTTCTTGGCGATGCAATTCCAAAATAGCACTTCTTTTGTTCAACATTTCAAAACTTTTAATTAGGGAACGAGATGAACACTGATAACTAAATGACTGATAACTAGATTAAGTAGAGAATCCAACGAGATTTAAATGTTACAGTTATGTTGGTGCATGCACGAGTACGACCTCGTTGACATTTGTCGCCGTTATTTCTTGTATGTATGTACATATATTTTTTAGTTATACATACATATACATATGTAAAAAATGTAATAAAAATTTTACACATGAAAATTATCTTGTTGCTTAATTGCCGCCGCGACTACTTACCAACTTGTGCGTTATCAACAATAATTAAATCGTATTGATTTTGGTAGCCAACACGATAATTTGTTCTATGTCCAGAATCCCAATTAATTACAACCGTATTTTCAGGTGAGTGTGTCGATCCAGAGCGTCCAATCTCACAAACAGTACCAACATGACCTTCTCCGTCATCTATTGGAAGAGAATAGAGTTGTTCTTTGAATTATTTCAAAATTTCATTTCGAAATGGGTGGAGATATGTGCCAATGATTCGAGAGAATGTCTACTTTGTATATAGACAAATGCATGTGTTTCTACATAGTATATACTCATGTATTCACCTTCATATGTATACACATACGTAGTGCGTACTATTGGCACGTTGATACTTATGCATAAGATACTTAAATTGTATAGTTCGACATACACAAATACAAAGGCAATATTAATTACACGCGATGCTATTTATAAAAATCGGGCTTCCAGCAGATGTTTTGCATCTACATACATACATTGTACGATGAGAATACATCCTAAAACTCCAGCGCAGTTGCGAGAATTTTTCATGCGGATGTCCGCTAACCGTGGTGCGTAAGTACAGTGTTGAAAATAAAATTAGAACATCTTTCCATATTCAAAAATTCACAACTATTACAAGAGATGATTTTATATCAAATCTCCGAGTGAGAAGAGATGGGGGGGCTAACACGCGGAGGATGATGGCCCTTATCTCGACAGTTCGTCTTTTGTCACCAAAATTGGCCTTCAAAAAGTTTTCGTTGAACCAAACTATAACTTAACATCCCTTGCGTCACATTCACCGTCAGTTGTCAAAAAAAGTTGTATCGGTGTATTTGTATGAAGTAAGTTCAATGCACAAAGCTGGCGGAGGCGGTGACGCACAAATTAACTCAACTTTTAACTTTGCTTATGTGTTTGCGTGAAGTTACAACTAATGTGTTTTGTTTTCATATTTAAAATAGTTATGATGGAAGAAAAGATAATAGAAGTGCAAAGTACAAACAAATTTTTGCAAAGAGTAGCAGTGAGTTTTTGATTTTACGGACGCAAATTTAAAACGGATAGTTTGTGACTTAACGCATAAGCACCGTTGAAACTGACGGTGACGCAATGGACGTTATGTACTTTCACTTTAAATGAAGGGTTCGCTCAAATAATTCTAATACTTAAAAGTAGATATCACAGCAACGACCACAATTTCAAGTTTAACAGCAAGAGTTTGCACGGTATATTGAGGTACGCAAGTTCGAATCTCACTGAGTAAATAACGACTGTTTTGTTTTTTATTTTTTTGTTAATTAATTTCTCAGACCTATCGAAAAGTGATGTACGGTTTATGCCGAATTTAAACTAGGCCTTTAAATGACAAACAATTTATGCCATTTAAGAAAATGCCATGT